ATTCTATGGAAATTCATCCAAATTATTTTGTATATCAGTCCATTCCTTTTTATTGCTGAATAGTAGTCCATGTTATGAAGTACATCAGTTTGTATAACTATTCATCCACTGAAGGACATCTGGGTTGTTTCCAGTTTTTAGCTATTATGAATATAATATCTAATATGGATATTATCATGCTGTAATCATCCATGTACAGGCTTTGTAAGAACTTAAGTTCTAATTTCTCTGGGATAAATACTCAGGAGTGCTTTTGCTGGGTTGTATGGTAGTTGCATGTTTAGATTTTAAGAAACTGCCAAATTGTTTTTCAGAGGGACAGTACTATAATATTTTATATTCCTGCCAGAAAATATATGACTAATTCAATTTCTCCACATACTTGCCAGCCTTTGGTGTTATTACTGTTTTTTATTTGAGCCATTTTGATAAGTGTGTAGCCATATTTCTTCAAGTACTTTTTTTTTTCTCAAAGATTTTATTGGGGAATTGGGGGAGGGAACAGCATTGGGGAATCGGGGAAGGGGAACAGACCAGTTGCTGTCCTTTCGTTCTTCAGTCTAGTTGTGGAGGATGTCACTTCATTGGCCCATGTTGGTATTATCATTGTGCTCTTCCTGGGTGAGGCAAATCAGTCACCAACCACTGGACGGCCACTCATGACAGCTCGTGGCAGCTCATACCGGCTGCCGGCCACCCACGCCGGCTGCCAGCCACTCACGGTAGCTCATGGCAGCCCACTGCAGCCTACACTGTTGCCGGCAACTCATACGGCAGCCCAGCTCCAGGTCGAGCTATTGTTCACCATCTTAGCTGTAGAGGGCACAGCGTCACTGGCCCTAATGAGGGATCCGAACAGGGACCCTGCTGCTCAGAGCTGGCGTCCCAAGCCAGATCTTAACCAACGAGCCACTTGGCTGGCCCCTCAAGTACTTTTTCAACCCCACCCTCTTTCTCCTTTCCTTCTGGGACTTCAGTGACACAAATAAGCACTGTTCAGTTTTGTTCCCCTCCCTCCCGGTGTATTATTTTTTTCTGTTGTTTAGATTTGAGTAATTTTTATTGTTTTATCTTTACTGATTCTTTTCTCTGTTCCTTCCAGTCTATTGTTGAACCCATCCATTATTGTATTTTTCAGTTGTAGAATATCCATTTGGTTTTTCTTTATATCTTTTATTTTTAGCTGAGGCTTTCCATTTTTAATCTGTTTCAAGCATATTTGTAATTTCTCACTTAAACATTTTTTGATGACTCCTTTAAAACCTGTGTCAAGTAATTTTAACATTTTTGTTATCTCAGTGTTGACATCTGTAGATTGTCTTTTTTGCAGTTTGAGATCTTACTGGTCTTTGATATAATGAGTGATTTTTATTTTTTAATTTGGACATTTTTGGTATTATGTAATGAGACTCTTCTCTTTTAGTTTGTGTCTCTGACACCAGTCCAGCAGCGGAAGGTAGAGGCACTACCTTGTTATTGCCAGCGTGGGGTAAATATTGTGGTTCTTTACTTGATTTCTGTTGACAGACAAGAAGTGGGGGCTCTGCACTACTGTGCAGGGTTTGGAGTTCTGGTTCCCCACTAGGGGTACCCCACTCTACCGAGACCTCCCTAGCTAAGTACCTCATTTTTCTTCCCAGTGGCCTCCACTGACACCATGTTGGGGCGAGGTGACCTGATTACTGTTTTGAGCAGTGATGAAAGTCCTGACGCCCCACTAGGCTTTCTGAGACACCATCCCAGCAGAGTGGGGGAAGAGCACCTCATTATTGCCAGGTGGATATGAAAGTCCAGGCTCCCCAGGTGGTATCCACTGTCATCACAGGGGAGAGAGTGGTTCTCACCACCCAGCAGGGATGAAAGTCCTAGCTCCTACTCAGCCTTCTTTAACATCTCCCTGTGGGGAGATTGGGAAAACCAGTTAGAATCCAGGAAGGGTGAAAGTCTAGGTTCCCCTCTTGGCATTTGTTGGGTGAAGTTAGGGCCACAGTCTTTTTTGTGTGTGGTGTGGGCTGAAGTATTGTAGTTACTGTCTGAAAGTATTCTGTCTTGCTTGGCTGCCCCTTTCCTGGTACTACGGCTAGAATGAGCAGATTCTTGGGGAGCTTTTTTAGTCTATGCTTGTTGGCATTGCCAGGTTGCCAACTTCTTCAATTTTAAGTCTGGGAAATATGGGACAAGAAAAAAACCCAGGAACTCCATCACCTTGTTCTTTAGGTCCTAAGGTTTTTACCTGGTCTGTTTTCTTCACCTTTTAGAGTGATTTAGCCCCAGTTCACCTTCCCAGCCTCATTTCTTGTCTCTCCCTGTACACTTAAATCTCCAGAAATGTACCATGTTCTCACTCATATGTAGGATTTTACCTATGTTCTTCTTCCCCTCTTTATCAGGGAAGCATCTTATATCTCTGTTTCTTATATTCAAGCAATATAGAACTACTTGCCATTTCTCAATACGTGATGTGTTTTCACATCTCTACGGCTTCTATTTTTTTTGCATGTTTTAAATATTGACACACATTTGAAATACAATTGACATAATAGCTTCAGGTGTACACCACAATGATTGGATATATATATTCTAAGGCTTTATTTATGTTGCTTTTTTTTCTTTAATACCTCTCATCTTTCTCCATCTTTAAATTTTTCATTCATCTTTGAAGGACTACTCAAAGATTACCTCGTCCATTGAACCTTTGCAGATCTCCAGGCATGATGAATTGCTTCCTTTTCTTTGCTTCAATGGTATAATACTTTGTACTTGGCTCTAGTACACCGTGTATCTCATTTTGTTACCATTGTTTGAGACTTTTTCACTCCGTGGAATTTTCGGTTCATTGAGTATAAGGGCATATCTCATTTTTCTTGTATCTGTAACATTTGGGTACTGTTTGACGTATAGTAATTGTTTAATAACTGTCAGTGGATGGAACCCTATTATGAAATTTACTCCCCTGAAATAGAGTTCAGGTAGTTTAAAAGGCTCTCTCTAGAACAGCACTGCCCAATAGAAATATAACATGAGCCACAAATGTGAACCATATATGTAATTTTAAATTTACTAGTGGCCACATTTGAAAAGTAAAAAGAAGCAGGTGAAACTAATTTTAATTTTATTCAACCCAACATATCCAAAATACTATTTCAGTGTATAGTCAATATGGAAAATTATTTATGATATATTTTACATTTTTTTGTACTAAATCTTCAAAATCTGGCACGTATTTTATACTTATAACTTAATTTGGACTATCTGCATTTTAAGAGCTCAATAGCTGTGTGTGGCTAGTGGTGACTGTATTAGACAGCTTAACTCTAGAATAATGGAATTCTGAATAAGTAGTCATTTTTATTATGACAGGTTTTGTAAAGGTTTTTCTTGATTTTAACACTTTAATGATAAGTCTGCAAAATCCACTAGAGAGCAGTGTTCCCTTTAAAATATCACTTTAGTTCTAGTTTAATGGTGATTGGCTGAAGCCTGATCTATATCTTTAGTGTAGGTTCTCTGAGGTGCCACTTCGAGTTTTTCCCTTGATTCTAGGTTATTTATTTGCCTGGTTCTGACTGTTTACTCACCCTAGATTGTTCTTAGGCTACCTTTTATTGGCATGAATGTTACATTTCTTTTTAAAAGACTTTATTGGGGAATTGGGGGAAGGGAACAGCATTGGGGAATCGGGGAAGGGGAACAGACAAGTTGCTGTTGTTTTGTTCTTCAGTCTAGTTGTGGAGGACGTTGCTTCACTGACCCATGTTGGTATTATCATTGCACTCCTCCAGGTGAGGCAGATCAGTCGCCAGCCACTGGACGGCCACTCACAGCGGCTCTTGGCAGCTCACTCTGGCTGTCGGCCTTGCACATCAGCTGCCAGCCACTTACAGTAGCTTATGGCAGCCCACTGCAGCTTCACTGCAGCCTACGTGGTCGCTGGCGACTCACGGCAACCCAGCTCCAGGTCGAGCTGTTGTTCACCATCTTAGCTGTAGAGGGCGCAGTGTCACTGGCCCTAATGTGGGATCCGAACTGGGGCCCTGCTGCTCAGAGGTGGTGTCCCAAGCCAACTCTTAACCAACACGCCACTTGGCTGGCCCATGACTGATACTTCTTTCATAGCAAGTGTTGTTTAGTGCATATGTGATATTGTTGGGATAGTTGTGGCTCCATAGTATCATCTATTTCTGGCACTATTAATTGGTAGTCAGGTAGATCTCTAAGGGACTTAAAGAGCTTACTGTGTTCACTTTATTTGAATTCATCTGTCAAGGAGGGACTGTAACCTCTAGATCCTTTTACTAAGATTTCAGATCATATTAGCTAGTGGTTTAATAATGAACTACAGACATTATATGTGCTGAATATATTTGTGTTTAGATGTGTTTATATGTATAATAACATATAGTGAATTTAAGGATAGGTTATAAATTCATTGTAACAAATTTACCCCCAAATATAGTAGTTTAACACGAAGTTTATACCTCATTCATGGTACACTAATGTTACAAGTCCATGGACGGTTCTGCTCCATGGTCACCCTAGGATCCAGACTGATAGAAGCTCCATTCTTATAAAACTACACTGTCTAGTTCTTGAGGCTCCTCATTTATCAGCAGGAAAAGACAGCATTGAAAACCATGTATTGGCTCTCAGGTGCTTCATCCTACAGCCCATTGGCCAGAACTAGGGACATAACCCCATCTAACTCCAAGGGTGAGCTGGGAAATGTGTCCAGACAAGGAGAACCAGATGTTATTATTAGTAACATCTACCACAATCCTGATTCTGCTACTTGCTTGCTCTGTGACCTTGGAAAGCCACTTTTCTGAGCCCCAGCTTACTCATCTATAAATTGTAGGTAATATTTTTACCTAAGTTGATTGCTATGTATATTAAATGAAATACTGTTACATGGGAGTGCTTTGAAAATGTAAAGTATGCTGGAAATTTTAGCTTTTCTTTAACCATTTTTTGAAGTTAAAATGCTGCTTGTTTTTTTCCAGGTCTTCTGAATGATGGAACTGTAGGTATTTTTAGGGGCAACCAGATGCGCTTAAAGAGAGCTTGCATTCGCAAAGCAAAGATCTCTGCTGTTGCTTTCCGGAAAGCCTTCTGCCACCACAAATTAGTGGAACTTGATGCCACTGGTGTGAATGCTGACATCACGATTACAGACATCATCAGTGGGCTTGGCAGTAACAAATGGATCCAGCAGAATCTCCAGTGCCTAGTGCTGAACTCATTAACTCTGTCCCTTGAAGATCCTTATGAACGGTGCTTCAGCCAGCTTTCTGGCCTTCGAGCATTAAGCATCACCAACGTTCTCTTTTACAATGAAGACCTGGCTGAAGTTGCCTCATTGCCAAGATTAGAGAGCCTGGATATTTCTAACACCTCAATCACAGACATCACGGCTCTGCTGGCCTGCAAAGACCGCCTCAAGTCTCTAACCATGCACCACTTGAAATGTTTAAAAATGACAACTACCCAGATACTGGATGTTGTTCGAGAACTAAAATATCTGAATCATCTTGATATTTCAGATGATAAACAGTTTACATCAGACATAGCTCTTCGCTTACTAGAACAAAAGGACATCCTGCCCAACCTTGTCTCTCTGGATGTTTCTGGGAGAAAGCACGTGACAGATAAAGCTGTTGAAGCTTTTATACAACAACGGCCCAGCATGCAATTTGTAGGTTTGCTGGCCACTGATGCTGGTTACTCTGAATTCCTCACAGGCGAAGGACATTTGAAGGTTAGACTTTAATAATGTATTATTTGTCAGGCTGACCAGTCTCTTAGTTGCATAGGACTCCATTAAGATGAATGTCTAGTAACATATGGAGCATATTCATGAAGCAAGGCATTATATAGTGGAAAGACCTTGCTTTAGAGGCAGAATTCTAATTAAAATCATAGCTTGCTTGCTTTATGACACATAGCGAGCTTTGATGTAACGTTTTCGAGTTCTCCTTTATTTATAAAATAGATATTGTTCCTATTTTGCAGAATTCTCCTGAAGATTAATAATTATATCTGTAAAGTACAAGTCATGTAGTAGGCCCTGGGTAAATGATAGTTCTTACGATGGTATGTTTAGATATTTGAACCACTTAAGCATACCATTTTTCATGGGATCACTTCAAAGAAACTAGGGATACTCCTTGTTGAATTGCATATCTAATGGGAGATCAAGTTCTCCAAGGAGATCTCTACTGTAGAAATGGTATAATTTTGCTTTTCTTAGGTTTATTATGTCTAATGGTTTAAATTCAGTTTAGCAAACATCTGTTGGGCTTGATACAGCTTGGGATTCAAAGATGAAAAAGATATAGGATCTACCTCCCAGGAGCTTAATCTGATGGGAGTGATGATGATATGATCACAAAAAAATTAGAAAGCCATGGATTGGTGTAGTTGCTGTAAAAGTGTAGGAGAAATTTCAAAGCATTGGAGAATTTGGGGCTTGATATAAAAGATGATATCTGTGTCAGGCCTTGAAGGATAGAATTGTGACAAGTTTAAGGAAAACTAATATTTTTTAGCATACACTGTATTCTCTAGATGCTTTACATTGATAGGTATTAACCCCATTTTATAGATGAGAAACATAGGCTCATAGAAATTATATGATTTACTATTAGTTAGAACCAACATTTGTATCTATATCTGTGTAGTTCCAGAATCCCATTTCCCCCACTACTCGCTACACCACTTAAGCAGAAGCATTCTTTGATCCCACCTGGAACAGAGTCAGGGTTGGGTTGGAAGTCGATATTGTGGTCAAAATGGCAAGGTATCTTTTTTGAGCAACCATCAGTGATCTCAAAAAAGGAGAAGGAAAGGTTAGTTATAAATATCTCTGTTCTTAGGTTATTTTTAAATTTAGACTTTAAAAAATAGAATGTAGAAAATGAATGAGTTACTCTTTTTTATTCATTCATTCAGTAAATATTTTATCAAGTGCCTCTGTGCACTGGGTACTCTTCTGGACATGGTGATTTGATGGTGAGGTCAAACAGATATGATCTCGCCCTCATGGAGCTTGTAATTTAGTGAGGGAGTCAATCAAATATATGCCATATGTGTGTGCATGAGCAGGCAGTTTAAATATATATTTATATCATATGCATATATATTTTTATGTTATATATACACACATATATATGTATGTATATACATATATATATAGATATGCTTTAAACTGTACAGTACTAAAAATCTGGAAGATACACAGTATGAGATGTTTAACAGACTTGACTCAGTTTAAGCCTTCTCTGAGGAACTGATAAATGAGTGGAGATCTTAAGAGTGAGTAGCTTGGTAGACAACATTCGGGCAGAAAGATAATATATGCAAATTATGTGTGGTAGGAAGAAGCATGGTACATCCAAGGAACTGAAGGTAGGTCACTGTGGTTAGAGCTCAACAGTAGAAAGTCACATATGATGAGATGAGGTTAGAGAAGTAGGTTCCAGGGCCAGACTAGGCAGGTTCACATAAGCCAGGTGCAGGGCAACTAGAGTGTGAGCAACTTAACTTGTTATAGAACGAGCTAGATTTCTAGCACAGGGCTTGTTGATAAAGGAATCACGAAAATGTAAATTACTATTTTAATGTTACTTAACAGATGAGTCAGACAGTAAAGAATTGTAAAAATTAAAGGAGGGAAGTCCCTGTGTACTGAGAGTTGAGGAAGGATATCCCAGAAGTGTGAGCTTGACCTGCGTCCTGAAGGATGAAAGGAATGTATCCCTGGTACATTAAGTTAAATAACCTCAAGGTAAAGATCCTATAATAGTTGTGATCCCAGAGCAGTACGATTTTTGCTGATTCTTCTTATAATTAACTGACCCTAGAGTGAATTATCCTAAGTTTTAAAATTGAGGTCAGTAGGACATCTGTATTCCACAGTGTCTTTGTGAAACCAGTTTGATTTTACAAATGCAGCTGTTATTACTTTGAAATCTTGGCCTTAGGAAACATGTACTTTATTTGCTATCATTATCTAGTTTCCACCTCTGTAAATGTTGAAACTGATTCTCAGTCTTGACTGCAATTAAAATCACCTGGAATGTAATTATGTGAGATGGTGGATGTGTTAACTATAGCACTGGAATCATTTTGGAGCATATACATGTATCAAATCATCATGCTGTACACCTTAAACTTACACAATGTTATATGTCAATTATTCTTGATAAAGCTGGAAAAAAATTTTAATTAAAAAAAGTCAGCTGGAGAGCTTGAACAATTAAATCAGAATTTTAGAGAAATTGGACCCAGGTTTCAGTATTTTTTTTTTTAAGCTCCTTAGGTGATTGTAGCCAAAGTTGAGAATCATTGTGTAAGAAAATAGATATCATCAGAGCTTTGCTCTTTATTCAGCTATATGCAAAAATTGATGTTCCTTTTAAATTATTTGACTACAGATTTTAAAGCTGAAAAATAATAGGTCATGTTAAGGAGAGCAGAGACTTCCCCGTCTCCTTTTTTAGAATTGTCTAATTTGGAAAGTTGATGAAAAACTTGTCTGAAATGATTGTCTTAGTATTGTGATACTTTAAGTTAGTTTAGATTGACTTTATGGCTTTACATTCCTCGGTTTACTGGGTCACACTAAAGGATGCAAGAAGTAGAGACAAAGTGAGTCCCCAGTATTCTTTATAACACTTACTTGTATGGTACTCTGAGTGGATGGTTATAAGAGCAAACAATTTTCTTTTTGCATTTTCATATATATTACTTATTTTGATCTCTTGACTCTGTAAGAGAGGTATTATTGTCCTCAGCGAGAGGGGATGGCTTTCTTAAGGGTCACAACCAGGTGATATTAGAGCCTGCCCTGTACCCGTGGACTGTTTGATTCCAAAGTATATGTCTCCCCCACCACATCACTTTGCCTCTGTTTGAGAAAGGTCTTCCTTTCCCCTCGGTTTCTAGTCCCAACATAGAGGGTTTTCCTACCATAGAATTTCCAGTTCTGTCAATGCTGTTTCCCTACTCAACTTGCTCTTCTGTCACCATCCATTTCCTGAACCGTCTACTTCTCCACAACTAGGATTGTTATGTTTGTTGGCCACTTCATTCCCAGACTCTGGGTTTATCTACCAAGCTGTGGTTCCCAGTTCCTGAGAATCACTGGAAATGTGCTAAACCCCAATACTAGTTCTCAGTCTCCATCTTATTTGATCTAAAGTGGCATTTGACACAGTTGATCTCCTCCTCCTTGAAATACTTGAAATATTCTTGAAATACTTTTTTTACTTAGCTTCTAACTTAGCTTCTAGGATATCACACCTTTTTTTCCCCTACTTTCTGACTACTTAGTCTCAGCTTCCTTTATTAGTTCCTCCTCATCTCCCAGGCTTCTAGGTCCTTACACCTGTATGCTGACGACTCCCAAATTTATGTCTCCAGCCTAGACTTCTCCCTTGAACTAAGACTCCTATGTTGACCTGCAGTAATCAACATCCAGTGAAGGCACATATAAATTTTTTAAGCAGAGGAATTGATCCATTCCAAAAAACATTTACTAAGTACTTTTTAAAGATGTTTGAGTTAGTACCCTTTCCCTTGAGGAATTCTAGTCTAGTGGAGAGGAGACAGAGCAAATTTAAAAATGGCTTTAATCCAGTTTGAGATTACAGTTTGTGTACAGTTATACACAGAATGCCATAAGAAAATTTTCCCTTACAATATAAATTTTAGTTTTAATCCATATGTTAAGTATTAACAAGGCTTAATTTAGTGGTTAAGGACATGTTCTCTATTTTAAATTGTTTGCAGAAACTTGTACATACAGGCTTGTTTTTTTGATCTAGCATATGAAATTGATAGAATTGAAGATGCTTATAGTTTGAGGAGCCACATTGCTTGATTTGAGGGTTTATCACTGGTTAGAGGAATATTGATGAATAAAACATACAGGCAATGAAATTGGTGTAGAGATTTAACATTCCAGTATCAAAAGTTCTTTAATTTTATATCCAAATGTGGGTAAATGAAGTCTGACTGAGATCACTGTTATAAAATTTGCCTTTTTGTTTCACATATTTTAGAGTCTTTCTAAACCTAAAAGAGTCTAAGAAAAAGTTCAGGGTGATTCAAAAAGAACTGAACACTTGGAAATTTTTTATTATTCAGTAACTGCTTGTATATCTGAATATATAGTCCAGACTAATGTGTATGTATGTATAGTATACATAAATAGTTTAAAAAGCATTTTGTAAAGAAATTAACATTGTTATATCTACAATCTTATACATGCTTGATATGTGCTCTTGTGTCACTTAGCACACATCTGTACTGTAGTCTAATTCATGTTAGACCTTTGTAGCATATCATATCAGTGATTGAAATGTCAGCCGTGATACAGCCCTTCATTTGCTCAAAGCTGCACATTCCCACCTGAATACTATATGTTCATATAAAACCTAGTTGCTGAGTAATATTTTTTTCCTGAGTAATATAGTTTTAAGTATTTATTTTTCTGTCACCCAGTATAATGCTGCTGCCAAAAGATTCTTCCAACTTAATGAGATTATATCTCTCTGAATGACATTTTTTACGTTTTTAACCTTATAAAATAAGACAAAGACTGTACATAATAAGTGTATAGCTTAATTTAATGAGTAAAAATAAGGTGAAAACATTTGAGGCCATCACTCAGGTTAATAAATAGAATTTTGTCAACTACCCTGAAGCTCTTCCATATGCCCCATCCTGATCACAACTCCCTCCTTCCACACAAAAGTTACCTCAATTCTGACTTTAATAATAATTATGCCCTTGTTTTTCTATATAGTTTTGTGACCCAACTTTATCTCTAGGCATTTAGTTAATCTTGCCCATTTTTCAAAATTATGTCTTGAGTATCTTTTTTTTTTTTTAATATTTTTATTGGGGAATTGGGGGAGGGGAACAGCGTTGGGGAATCAGGAAAGGGGAACAGACAAGTTGCTGTCCTTTTGTTCTTCAGTCTAGTTGTGGAGGCTGTCGCTTCACTGGCCCATGTTGGTATTATCATTGCGCTCTTCCGGATGAGGCAGATTGGTCGCCGACCACCTAACGGCCACTCACAGCGGCTCTTGACAGCTCACGCTGGCTGCCGGCCATTGAATATCTTTTAACTTATAGGTTTCCTCTTCATTCCTTTCTTTTCCTTATGATTTATCTATTAAAGAATATTAAAGAATCCAGCCTTTTTGACTTGTAGAGTTTCCCTCAGTCTGGATTTTCTTGGTTGTATAGTCTTGGTGTGTATAATATTTCTCTGTCTTTGAATTTGCAAATTGGTAGCTGGATTTGAAGGCTTAATCAAACTCATATTTGATACTTTGGGCAGAACCTTTAGGTGTTGTGCTCTTTCGTAATGTCTGGTTGTTTTCTTTCTGTGATGTTAGCAGTTGTTGACACTTAATATAATAACTAGTTCCATTAATTCACTGGGGACCATGCTGTTGTTCTTATAATTTCTTTTTGACTTATTAGTTGGATTATTTTTGTTATATACATTTGGTTACCCAATGGTACATGAACAACAGTTTAAGTGTATTAACCTATATAAATGGGAAATTCCTAGATGGACTTAATTTTGAACAGAGTCTCTTGATGCTGAATGGGAGCTTGATAAATCTGGGGAAATTAATAAATGTATTTTGACGAATACTTACTGTTTATTGTGAGGCACCCATAATGCTAGCTGTCGGGATACAGTGGTGAATGGGTCAGTCTAGTGTGGGGATTATGATAATGGCTATTTTAGGAGATGTTTAAAGCGGAACTGATTTAGATTGGTGGGTCAGAGAAGGCCTCTCTAAAGAAGTGTCATTTAACTTGAATTGGGAAGAATGAGTAGAAATTAGGCAAAGAAAGAGAGGAAGATTTCAGTCAGAGAGGATATTATGTAATAGCCTTTTGCTGGGAAAGAGGTTGGCTTATTGAAAGATCTGAAAAAAAGGCCAGTGTGGCTATAATGTTGTGAGTTAGGGGGAAAGGGATACCTTAAGAGGCAGATAAGAGCCTAATCACAAGGTAAGACCTCATAAGTAGTGTTAAATAACTTTTGATTTATTTTAGACACAGTATAGAAAATTTTACCCATAGGCTTATGGTAGGGTCTAAGCCTATCTAAAATATCTCTTTAGCACATGTATACTTCCAAAGGATGACTATTCTGGGTGGATTGGAAAGTAATCACTCACATTTGTTTTAAGCCTTACATAGCTATCCTGGATGCCATCTATACAAATGATGTTTGGATATAGAAAATTAGAGGGTTGAAAAGAATCCTAAAAGCTAATTTTCTGGCTATGTTCAAAGGTGTCTGGAGAAGCCAATGAAACTCAGATTGCTGAAGCATTGAAGCGGTACAGTGAACGGGCATTCTTTGTCCGGGAAGCTCTATTTCACCTTTTTAGCCTGACTCATGTGATGGAAAAAACAAAGCCAGAAATTTTAAAGGTAAGAATAAGAAACTGGGTCTAAAAATTTTGAAATTGTCTGCCTGGATGGATGATGGTTTTATGAAGAAAACTGGGGAAATTTTTCCTTTAGCCTTTGTGAGTTTTGGGGGTTTTTTTTGTTTGTACTAGGATTGATGATGTGTGATTTTAGTTATTAGCTGTAAATGAGAAACAGAGAAAATAGTTGCTTGATGTTATTGAAGTTTTATAGTACTCTCATTAAACAATAGTGTCTTCCAGTGTCTGGAAGAAGGACACTGCATTGTATATTAGCTCAGTATTGCTTCCATACAGGCTCTTTTTAGAAATACGTGATTGGAATTCCATAAGACACTTCTCCATGCCACTTATGAACCCCCTGTGCTTGCATAACTAATCCATGTTATTCCCCAATTAAGATATTTTAACCAAGACAGCTTTTGAAGGGCAAGAAAGGAAGATTCTTAATTTTGTTGATTGCTTAGGATAATGTTTGTCAAAATGTGGTCCTTTGTCTACCAGAAGTCTGGAATGTTGTTTATTTTAAAGAGCGTATTTGTGAACCCCACCCCAAGAAATTTAGATTCAATAGGCCTAGATGAAATAAAGGAATCTGCATTTTAATAATCGCACAAGATAATTCTTATGCACATTCGATTTTGAAACCAGTGAGTATAGGACTGTGCTATATTTGGTACCTCATTTAGTGGGCACAACATACTCAAGAGATAAGTTTTATCTTCTAATTTGCAGATTGTGTAAGTGAGGGTCTGTGAGGTTAAGTAACAATAAGTTAGTGGCAGAGCCAGAAATGACTTAATCTGCAACTATCCTAAAGTTTGAGAATGGGGTGCTTGGATAGGATCCAGTAATATTTCGGTCCCTAGGATGTTATCCCTAACACCTGCCACTCCCTCCGTACATACCAGAGGATACTGGCACTTGGTACATTCATTGTCTTTTTTTGGTTTTGGTTACTGTGAACCTGAACAACAAAGGACTAGACCTCTAGTCCCGAACTGAAATATTTATTCATTCATTTATCCAGAGAATGATGCAGAGAGAAATAAAATAATACAGGCAGTCATTTTAAGGAGTTTTGCTACAAAGGGGAGCAAAGAAAAAAGGTGGCAGTTGGTTGAAGAAGCAGGTTTGTTTGTTTGTAAGATGGGAAACAAAATAGCTGCTTATATGCTGCTATGAATGATCCAGCACAGAATTTTAGAAATGATGCGGGAGTGAGGGGAGAACATCTGAAGCAGTGCCCTCGAGTAGACAAAAAAGGAAGGACTTAGCACGTAAGTTGAGGGATTACCTTTAGATAAGAGCCCCCCAAAATCGTTTATGGTAACAGGCAGGAAGGCAGCATATGCACGTGTGTATGCTGGTAAGCGGGTACATGTGGTAGTGAGAACCTGAAGTTCTTTTCTGATTGCTTCAGTTTCTCAATGTAGTTGGAAGCAAGGTCTTCAGCAGATAATGAGGAATGGGGAGGTTTTGTTGGGGGTTTGAGGAGAGAGGAAAAGGTGAAAAACAGTGATCTAGGCCAGAGGTAAATGAATGGATTTTATTGTACTCTAGCTTTTGCAGTGTTCTCAAGGAACTGAATGTTGAAATTCGAATGTGACGTGTCAAGAGCCGGCTCGACAGCCGGGGCACCTGGATGATCAGGCTAAGAACCCACCAAACGGTGCCCGAGCAGGATTGATAGGCGCGAGGAAATGAGAAATGAAAGAAATGGCATAGACACCAAAGTTGGGATTAGGAGGTTCACTAACTGCTGATGGCAGAGAGTGACAGCATTTATTAAAAGGCATATTGCTTATATAGAAAGCAAGTTCCTCTTTTACCAGGAGTAATTTCTTATCTAAGCATAGGGGTTTTGGTAGGGGGTTTTTGGGGAATGAGGAACCAATGTTCCTTACGCATGGGTTTGGAAGTGAGATAATCTCTTGGCAGCAAGTTACATGATTACATAGCATAGACTAATGATGTATTTTAAGTAAGGTGAAACTGAGGCAAATAGCAACTGTCAGCAAGTCCATGATGGAAAGTTTTAAAGTTCCTAAGTCCATGGTGGAAGGTTTCAAAGTTCATAGTCCATAGACAGTGACATCTGAGGGTCTGGTGGTTGTGGTTTAGGAACTTCTGCTTTTCCATGGCACAGGAGATGAGCTGGGCGTCATTGGGTTACTGTTTTTGCAGTTCACCTTTTGCTATTCAGCTAACATGCAGTTTTGCAGTCTTTTCCTCAGCACACAGATCATGGGGGTCTGTAACCACCTGCCATTCTCTACCTGCAGTCAGCCTAAAGTCTCATTATTCTGAGACGGCTCCCAACAGTGAAGTTTGATACTGGTTTATTCTGTCAGTAAGAATTTATTTAGTGCTTAGCATATAGCAGGCACTGTACTAGGTCTTGGAAATGCAAAGATGAGTTACCTGAATAGAAAAGATTTATTAGCCTTACAGAAAAATCTCTGGACATGAACAACTTGATACCTACCTTGACAAGTGAGCAGGAACTAAGTGTTGGTGAGTAACTTTTATGTTCTGGGCTCTTTGCAAGTGAGGGTAAAAAAAGATACGTAAAACATCTTAGAAATTATTATAGATCAACAAAATAATGTTGCTATGTGAAGAGGGCTTTTATTTATAAGGTAGATTGAGAGAACTAATTTTTTTTTTCCAGCTTGTGGTGACTGGAATGAGAAACCACCCTATGAATTTGCCAGTGCAGCTTGCTGCAAGCGCCTGTGTATTTAACTTAACCAAGCAGGATCTTGCCGCAGGAATGCCTGTCCGACTTCTAGCTGATGTGACCCATTTGCTTCTCAAAGCCATGGAGCATTTTCCTAATCACCAACAGGTAAGCATATGGGAATCTCCATTCAAATATCCTCTTATTGTTGTCTCCTACTCATCTCCTGCCTCCATACAGTTCAATTTAGTAGACCAAGGCTGGAAATTCAAATGCCTTTGAAGGCTGTAAAGTAATAAATTTGTGGTATAACCGAGTGTCAGACAACAGAGAAGTAGAAAACTAAGCATGCGTTCCCTGCCTAACAAGTATTTAAATCCAAATGTTGAGGGGGGAAAAAACAAGAAGAAGCCCTGGAATCCAAAACAAAACAAAACAAAAAAATGTTGAAGGAAATAGTGCAAGCCATATAAAACTCATTTTCAACCTAGCTCTTGAGTTTGTGATAATTGCAGCAAACTGGCATAGAGCATCTATTCTAGGCTAGGCACTATCAAGCCCTGGGATAAAGAAATGAATAAGACATGGATTTTCTATTTCTAGCAGTATGATAGACTACATAACCTGTTCTGTCCTGCAGAAGGAAACTAAAAATACTGCTTGAATAATATATATATTTTTTAAAGATTTTATTGGGGAATTGGGGGAGGGGAACAGCATTGGGGAATC